AGAACGTTTGATAAAGCAAGGACGGACAACTTCTGACGGTAAAAAAAGTTAAAAAGTTAAAAATTTAATAGAAAAACGTTTCGGTCTTACACCTTCTAAGACCGAAACGTTTTTCTATTAAATTTTAAACTTTTTAACTTTTTTTACCGTCAGAAGTTGTCCGTCCTTGCTTTATCAAACGTTCTTAAATTCATTTTTGCGGTGAGGCTTGGACTGTGAATCTTCATTGATCCTCCTGACGCAGTGGCATTCTTTGTTGGCTTGAGGCATTTTATAGCCGTTTTATATATATATATATATATATATATATATATATATATATATATATATATAAAACGGTTATAAAATATATATATATATTTATATATATATATATATATATATATTTATATATATATATAAATAATTTCACTGGCTGACTTTTAACCTCTGTCTATTGTTAAGATCAACGTTTTTCATCAACAGCCGCGGTTTTTGCTCATGGATGAAGTAACATCCACGAGCTTAGGAGCCAGTCGGATGGCGCTCGATCACTCACTCACGATCACTCACTCACTCGATTTTGATTAATTTATTCATTAAAACCGGATTAAATGGTTTTCTCCTATCCCTCCCCTGCTAAATATAGTTTTTGTCCTAGGCACTTCTTTGTGTAGGTTTGGCAGGTTTTAGACGGGGACTAGGAGGGCGAAATGTTTGTCCGACAGCATGAAGTTTATACATGGCGGTTAACGCGGCACGATGATGGTTTTTGGTTGAATTCGTGGAGTTGTAAAATGGAAAGTTGATAAGCTAAGCAACAGTAGCTGCGACAAATGAACATGGAGAAGACTAGAAGGAAGCACTATACCATTTTTGTGCGGCAGCATAGCGTAACGCGGCACGAGGATGGTTTTTCGTTCAATTTTATTGAGGAGACCTTCGTGGATTGGTAAAATGGAAAATTATCAAGCTAAGGAACACTAGCTTCGGCAATGAACATTGAAATCCTGAAAGCCACGATGCTCGCTTCGAAATCTTTAAAGCTACAATGCTGAAAAGCGACGATGTCACGACCGCGGACGAATCGTTTTTAAGTCTTTTAAAATGTCACCTGGAGGGGGACAACAGTGCAACGGGGAATGAACGCTGTATCATCTAGAAGCTAAGGTAAGCCTCCTTGTTGTGTCGTATTTTTTACTATGCCTTTTATACTGGAGGGATTATTTCGTCCGGAAAGTAGCACTGGTACAAAATCGATTCCGAATGTGGTCACGTGACAAAAGGCATTGTTTTCTGACTCAAAAGAGCTGCCTTTCGCCATTTTGGGTCATTTTGGGTGTTGTCTCTGCAGAGTTCTCTTCGATCTGTGTATTCAATATTGGCGATTTATATTATCGGTGCTATGGATGTAGTTTGTACAGAAAATGCTGATAACAAGTCTCTCGTATATTCGGGGACAAAAGTATTATCGCAACCCTCTACTGGCCGGGGTAATTCGCAAGGCCAGGAGACCTTTAGCTTCGAAGAAGCTTACGTCGAGTTCCCCTCTCGCTGGGACTTAAAATGCCACAATCGTGGAAAGCGAGATTGAGAGAGAATTGCCAGATACTTGTCAAACAAATGCTAAACAAATGCCAAATAATGTATACCAAATAACAAATGCCAAATACGAAATGTTGAACTGTCAAACACATGACCTATCACATGAGAAATCGCTGAAACGTGAAAATACCAAGGAGGAGAGCGAGTCTGTTACAGTACCCGAGCAGTATATCGACGCATGTATTAGAAAAACTGAACTTCAAAATAAACACGGAACACCATTCCAAGCGTCAAGTAAGTTCAATTGCCTATGCAGTGGCGATAATCTTCAAATTGCAAATGTACTCGAGAATGAAAGAATTATTCAGCTACGAAATTCAAGAGCAGTGATAGTCTCCCATTCTCGTTTACGAATGAGACGTGAGAGAGAGCCTTCGAGAATTTCTTTCAGAATGGTTTCTAGACTTTTTAAAAGGAGACAGACAAGAAGGGCAGTCAAATTATACATTAAGAAATGTGTCCCTACAACATGTAAGTTGAATGTTATGCTTTGCGAATATACTCGTAATCACTTCTTTGACCAATGCTCAAGATCAAAATTCACGGTATTCCCAAAGAAGAGTTTGAATAGACGTAATTTGTTTCTTGTTCGAATGATGACATTTAAGCACAAAAAGTTACCTTTGTTTTGTATTGGTACTGAAGACAATAACCACCAAAAATTAAAGCAGCTCCACATTAGAATTTTGTATCATTTAACTAGCAGACTTATATCACTTAGTGGAGATGTTGAGTTAAATCCAGGGCCTTCTAATCAGTCTAACAATGCCATGTGTAGTTCACCTACAAATTTTGTACCTCTATTAGAAACTAGATTGTCTAACTTAAACAGAACTGCGATTGATGTTGGAGGAGGTGGTGACAGCTTTTTCAGGGCTGTATCACATCAACTCTACGGCAATCCTAACAATCATTTTTATCTGCGCAGTGTTGGTGTTCAGTATTTAGTGCATAACCCTGAACAGTTTATAGAGAGTAACACTGAACATTCTTGGCAAGATTATTTACAAAGCATGTCAAATCAAGGAACATGGGCTGATGCTATCATAATTCAAGCAGTTGCTAACTGTCTTAACTTGTCAATTTATATTATTGAGTCAAATCCAGCCTTTTCTCCTGCTACTGTTGTTGAATCAATGAATGTGACACATGGTAGCCTAAAAATTTACATTGGGCATGTACACGAAATTCATTATGTTCCCACAAGTGAGATGCAAAGGAGATACAGTAATAGTGAAACAAATATAGACAAGAATTTAAACCAAGGTGCCCAAGAAAGGAAATGAACCTGGGACATGTAAGGGAAATCAAGCGAAAGTCCTTTAGAAAACGGAAAGCAGCTAACCCAGAGCTTGTACGGGAAATTAATAAGCAGTCAGTTAGAAAACGAAAAGCAGCTAACCCACAGCTTGTGCTGGAAATTAATAAGCAGTCAGTTAGAAAACAAAAAGCAGATAACCCAGAGCTTGCACGGGAAATTAATAAGCAGTCATTTAGAAAACGAAAAGCAGCTAACCCAGAGCTTGTACTGAAAATTAATAAGCGGTCAGGTAGAAAACGAAAAACAGATAACCCATAGCTTGTAAGGGAGACTAAAAACAGTTTTTTTAAGAGAAAGAAAGCCAGTAACCCAGAACACATTGAAGAAATCAATAGAAATTCCAAAGAAAAGCTCAAAACTGTGTCAAGTTTCCATACAGTTGGTGTAGTTAATGAAACACTTTTTCAAGATCTCCCAAATGTATCACAGATAACATTTGGCAGTGACAGGTTGCAAGCACAAAAAAACAAAGATACTAATGCAATTTCCATGATAAATTTGTTTCACAAAAACATTGCGCATGGCCCAGAATATGTATGTACTTGTTGTGATCAGTTGTGGTACAAGTCCTCTGTGGTAAAATGTGATGTAAATGGATACAAATCCTGCTCACAAAATGTGGTTAAGTCCTGTCTTACTGGTTTTAAAAGTGTTAATGACACTGAATGGATTTGCATAACTTGTGATTCAAATCTGAAGAAAGGAAAGTTGCCCAG